TTATTGAATACATTTCTAGTTTTATTATCAACATTATAATCTGAGTCCTGGTGTGGCACTCTGGGCTAATGCACCAGATTGCAAAGTTGTTTGAACTGCAAGGTCAGTGGTTCAAACTCACCAGCTGCTCCTTGGTAACCCTGTATAAGATCGCTATGGAACTGACTCGATGGCACTTAACAACAACAACACATTGTAATCTATTTCCTTTACTTCTCTTTTTAATGTATGTTTTAATACACTGGTATCTCAACATGTATTGCACTCTGTACTTGACCTCTTTTTATATCAATCAGTAAATGAAAATTGAGTTAAATCACAAGCTTAATAGCATAAAGCACTTTCTTTGAACAGTTATTTCTATCATATTACTTGAATGATTTGATGTACTGAACATAAAATTAGGAGAAAAATTAATAGGTTCCTGTTATATATGCAATCAAATGAGGAAAAGAAAAAAAAATATAATAAACATATATAGTGTCTTGTTGCCACTGGAGAATTAGGAGAGTTAAATGACTTGAAATGTATTGTACCACATAGAAGTGTCACTTAATATTTTTTTTATTTAAAAGCAAACTGCTAATTCCACTGATAAGTGGAATTTATTTAATTGAAAGATAAAACTCATTTGTTTTGACATGTGACACTCACTGGATTTAAGCTGGCTAACCAACTTAGAAGAAAGTGAATAAACATACAAACATGCATGAAATGCCGCAAGTATTAGGCTAACCATATGCATCTGTCAGTGTTTTACAAAAGGTTCAACCTCATGGTTACATGCTAACAACAAAAAACTTAACAATTAACACATTTGTATTTTTATCTCTCTGGAAACAGGGAGCTAAAAATATAAAACTTTATTGCTTAAATGTTACATGAGCACCTTTCAAGCATTTACAGTACTACGTTATATACAAAAGCAACAGACTATATAATAGTCTGGGCAGAACATATTAGAAGAGTTTGTTCTTTCAAATGATCTTTTTAAGTGCCAACTCCGTTTTCAGGAAAGTAATCATTATAACTTACACTTGGTTTTTAAGTATATATTTTCAATTAATAATCTTTTATTATGCCAGCATTTATTGAATCCTTACTATTATTTTAATAATGCATCTTCACAAAATAAAACTCTATGGGATTCACACACTAAGAAATCCCTCTAAAAGACAAACAACTTGACCATGTAAACAAAATTAGTACCAAGGTAATCAGAATTAAAAGCCAGATCTGCACATCTCTACAGCATGTGTTCTTAGAGTTAGGTTATTAGGCCAGCTGTCATCTTCTCCCTAGCTAGTTATATCAGAGTGCTAGTCAGTAAGAATTTTTTGCATGCAATTAATTTGGATAAACTAGACATTCTCTCAAGTTCTTTAATAAAAATAATCAAATTGTCATGCTAACTGTATTAAACTTGAATATTTCAAGTTATATTTAAAAAAAATTTTTTTTTAATGTAGTACATCTAAGGATGGATGACATTAACTTTCTCTAGAGCTAGTCTCTAAATTTCATAAATGAAAATACATTCAAGCTTGATGTAATAAATAAAAATTAAATAGTACCAATTATAATCTACAACAACTGAAACATAATAACAAATGAAAACTCACACTGTTAGCAGTTACTAAATTCACACTTCCATACTTACGAAAGGCACACATACCTTTTCCTAAATGCGTGTTTATGCTCATATATCTAGCTGTTCCTGTAAGACTCTTGTGTTCTCTGTATGGTATGTGTTTCTTTGTTTCTGGATCAATATATTCCTTTGCCAAACCAAAATCTATAATATGAATAACTTGTTGCGTTTTGTTTCCTGGTCGTCCTATTAAGAAGTTTTCAGGTTTTACATCTCTGTATATCAAGTTCTTTGAATGGACATATTCCATACGAGAAATCTTGATTTAGAAAAAAAAGAAGAGAAACTTTATTTTAGGTCTTAAATGGTAATGGAGAGCATGACTGAGGAAACTTTTACAATGAAAACAACATCAAAAAGAAAAATAATTTGAAATTATTTCAATTTTTTAAAGTAACAGTATTAGTATATGCTTCCTCAAATACATATCCAATTCTGATTATAAACCTGTGCCTTTACTACCATGATCACTGACAAAGTGTTTGGATTTTATAAATTCCTTTCATATCAGTAAGTTTGATTCAGTCAATATTTCTTACTAAAATGATTTTAGGATAGATAATCTTGAGCTGAAAAATGTAAACAGGCATTTATAACATTACAATTTACTCTTCAGTCAGTAACCAAGCAACTTTCACAATTAGTGAAAACTAAGTCTAAATTATTAAATTTTTTAAATTACCAAAGCAACGTCTAGTATTTCTTTCTTTTTTTTTCAATTGCTTTATTTTTTATCTCAGATATTAAATGGTACAAAAATATTTTAAAACTTTAAATTTCTGGATTCATCTCTAATAATAATACATTGTTGTTGTTAAGTGTCATTGAGTTGGTTCCTACCCATAGCAACTCTGTATACAGCTTTGAAGGAGAAGCTGGTGGGTTTGAACCACTGACCCTGTGGTTGGCAGTCTAGTGTTTATCCTACAGCACCACACTAGGACTTCAAATATTAATACAGTATGGTTTTATTAACAACAACATACAGGTTCTCTATTAATCAATGTAAAAATTTCAAAAAATTAAACATTACAAATAAGAAAATCACATGCCTTATTAATGATTATAAAGACCAATGCAGTGAACACACAGTCACAAAAGCCATTTCAATTTGCTTATTTGTTTAATAGCAATTTTTGGATTCTATGACACATACTCTTGTATATCCTATATTTTACACTTGACAATATGAGTTATTTTCCAGGTCATGAAACATTCTCTAAAAACACACTTTTTAGTGGTTGCACATGACTTTATGACTATTCATAACTTACAAAAACTAATTCTGTTATTTCTGAACATTTGAGGCATTTTATTTTTTCCATTTTCTATTATAAATATCCTGGGACTAAAAGTTTTAGGTACCTCTGAGTATTCCCATCGGATATGGAAGTGGAGAGAGAACTGATGAGTCAGAGGTATTTCAAAATTATTTTAAATCATTTTCTGTATTGTTTTTCCATAATATATGAAATTTAAATAAATTACTGAGACTCTCTCATTAGTTTCTTTCTCCTTTATCTAGGCCATTAGAATCTATAATCAAGGTTAAGAATTCATGTTTCTGAGGCATCTCTTTCTATATAATCTATATCAGAAAGGTATTGGAAATGATTTCCAAACTGACAATTCTGATCTTACAGAAATAGGACCTTAATTATTTTATACAATACATTAATTCAGGTTTATTAACTTATGTGTATCCCTAAATGACAACAAATGAAAAGCAGAATATCATAAGAAATGTCACCAAACTTAAAATTTTTAATAAGAGGGTAAATCCAAAAGGATTCTGCACTCTTCAATTTACACTGTATCAAAAGGGCAGTTTCTGCATAGTGACTCAAATTGTGTCCCTTTTTAGCATTCTTTAAGTTTGGGGATCAAAAGTAAGCCTAAAAGGAAAAGATCAAGGCTGTAGGGTGAAGAGGAAAGGTTGATCAACGAAATTTTCATAGTACAGCCAGCTCTGTTACCCTCAAAGACTGAGCAGATATGTTGTTGAAACGGAAAAAAACTCTTCAGCATAACCTCCTGGTCCTTTTCTCATCAATGCAGTTTTCAAATTTCTTAAAATTTCTTCATAGTAAGCATCCATGATCATCCTATCCTGTATCCTTCCAGACAACATATCAAAATTACCCTATCGTATCCCAAACACCAAGTGGCTATAACCTGAGATCATCTGTCTGTCTTGAATTTAACTAGGCCAGAAGATCCCCTGTGAGGCTAATAATTTGGCTGAACCTTATTTTGAAGGCATCCTAATTAGATTAAGACAAGCGTATAGCTGAAAAAACTTACCTGCAGCTATCCACTAATCAGACACATACTTAACCGTTTTCATTTGGAATAAACCCATCCATGTATGAACTGTAACCCTAGTAGCAACAGTTTTTCAGTTACCCTCATACAAATTTGACTAAACATTCTACACAGTTGTTTAAACAACTACAAAACACTCTGCTTCACTTACCAGTTGTATAGCTATCATGAGAACTGTTTTAAGAGAAAATGTTCTGTCACACAAGTCAAACAAGTCTTCTAAACTAGGTCCCAGCAGTTCCAGCACCATTGCATTGTATTTACCACAAGGGCCAAAATAGTAAACTTGAGGTATACCATCTAGGAGAAAAGAAAAAGTCATTGAATAATTTAATCATCTTAAATACCAAACTATTTTACTTAGAAAAATAGTTTTACAATTCTAGTTTAAAGAACTGCAGTACTGTTTACTTTTACCATATATAAAACAAACTTTCTCTGATCAAACTTCCCTCCCTATACCTTAGTCTTCATGTTCATATTGTAGTTTAGGTATACTTCTATCACAGCATTTACTAAATTACATTATACCAGTGTTTCATTGTTTTTAACCATCACCTCACTATAGAATTTTGCCCTGTATTTTCAAAGCCTAAAGAAATGCTTAGCACATAAAAAGATTCTATTTTTATGGAATAAGGGAGTCACTGTTATCTTTATTAACCTTGCCCTCCCCTATGTGTGGGCAAGATTCATGGGAATTTGCTCCCAAGATTAAATTAATGCTATATGACAAATGAGTCCTGGTGTGGCGCTGCAGAATACTGCACTGGACCACAAGGTCAGTTTGAACCGAAAGTTTGGCAGTTCAAATCCAACAGACATTCCTCGGAAACCCTATAGGGTCGCTATGGGTCGGAACTGACTCAGAGGCACTTAACAACATAAACAGCAAGGCAAGTACAATACAACTAAGACTTCTATCACTTAATGTTGGAGTCTTGGTATGGACTGCTAACTTCAGGTCAACAGTTCAAATCTGCCAGCTGCTCCTGAGAAATCCTATACAGGATTTCTGTGAGTCGGAACTGACTCAATGGCATTTAACAACGTCATCATCAGCTGATTTTGAGATCATTAAAAGGGAGAAAATTCTGGTGAGATTCACCTCATTAGGTGAGCTCTTTAAAAAGAGGGCCAAGAGATGAGACATAATGAAAGCATTAAAGACAATTCTCTTGGCCTTACTTAAAGAAGCAAACAATTATGTTGTGGAGAGGGTCAAATGCCAGAAAATGGTGGATATTACCTAGAAACTTAAGGCCTTAGTCCTATGTTGTTGCTGATAAGTTCTGTCAAGTCGATTTCAACTCATAGTGATCCTGTATTGGGTTTCCGAGATGCAGCTGGTGGATTTGAGCTGCTGATCTTGTTTGCATCCAGTGTTTATCCTACAATGCCACACCAAGAACCCAATAGTCATAAGAAACTAAATTCTATCAACAATCAATAAATTTAAAAGAGGTATCTGAGTTTCAAGTGAGATCACAGTCCTTGCTTAACACCTTTATTTCACCATTCTGAAGCCCTCAACAGAGAATTCAGCTAAGCCATGCCTGAAGTCTTGTTCCAAGAAAACTGAAATAATAAAGTCGCGTGTTTTAAGCCACTAAATTAATGATATATCATTAAGAACTAACACAACTATAAAATCAGACTCCAAATATAAAATCTGAATGCCCAGAAGTTATCTGTGTTTTATTTTTGTAAATAAGAACCGATAGGTGAACAATTTACCTTAATACTGCATTTACATATTCACTCATTATGAAAAATGAACAGTACAACTGAAATATAGTTTGTTTGTCTTAGTAATTTTAAGAGAAAAATTATAAAACAATATTTCACATTCTTCTTTTAAATAAAGAAACAAAAGGAATAGGTAAAATGTTATCTGGCCTGACAGTACAGTAATTCTGAAGTTTTCAAGCAGATTCCATTGGGACAGTAACCTGATTTTATAAGTACCCACAATCAAAAAGGTGGGATCCTCCCTGATAGCAATAAGTGAGGCCATCACCCACCCACCCACCCACCAGCTGTTGACAATACCCCCTGAAAAGTACCCTATTCCAACTGAGGTTGAAGCTTCACCTTCATGGATCGGGCACTGGGCAAATTATCCCTGTGTCTGTAGGCGCATAAACGCCATCTAATCAGACCAGTAAAAGGCCAGCACCAGATGAGTGGTCTGTCCCTGACCATACCCAAGTGAGCAAGAACTTCTACAAATCTAGCCACCCTGCTACCAATTACCCTCTAGGCCTGAAAGAGTCCTTCCAGGAACATGCAACTTCTGAGTGGGCATAAATGATTCCAGATCAGGTTCCCTGACCCTAGACACCATTCTAGACTGGAAGAAATTCCATCTAGTATCACACATCAAACACCCCCTTCACGCTTAACGCCATTCTGTGACCTCCTTGGTTGGCAGTGTGCTGACCCTAATGGGAGTCTTGCCCGCCTTCAGAATTTTCTCCTGAGTCTCCAGCCTCCTCCAGTTTTGTTTTTGTTGTTGTTGTTGTTTGTTTGTTTGTTTTTTAAATGTTTATTGTGAATTATATGATAGTTTACATGGGAGAACTTTAGTTTTACATTCATTCCATCATATATCATCTCATTGCCATGGTTCCAATC